TGTGTGTGTGTGTGTGTGTAAATACCTGCTATAAATCACACCATCCATACTTATGTATTTTAAATTAAAGTTCCATTTATTCTTGGGCAAAGATCTAAAGAAGATAGAGTAATTGGTGAGACAAATGCTATTCTCTGGAAAAGATTCTGAATCCTTGTGCATATTATTTCCACACAGCTTTGCAATTATTCTTAGTTCTAGCTACATGTATTCTCCTCAAAGGTGACACTGCTCCTGGAAAAAGGCCTCTCCTGAAGGCAGATTAACTTAAATATAGAAATAAAACTGTCCTTTACCAAATATCAATACAGACCTATGTCTATCCTATAACTTTCATGCGTTTACAAGTATATTTGTATAAACTATTTAAATCATTTATGATGTCAAGGCTCAATAAAGCATTTTTTCTGTAAAACTTAACAAATTAAAGTCCTCGGCATGGAGTCTTTCCAGTATAAATATCAAAGATAATAATAATAATAATAATAACAACAACAATAACAACAACAACAAATGGGACCACAAAATAGATTCAATAATAAAAAAATGAAGAAACTGAAGTGTTCTGGGACTTTAGAATTCAAATTGACAAGCACTTGTCATGTAACACCCTAGACGTAATAGCGGTTAGTAAGAAAGACAAAAATATCTGGATACAAAGACCTGCAAATATCAGTAAAATGACTGTGACAAAAGAAAGCAAAGATAGTACCAATAGTAACAGGTGCCTCAGGCACAATCCTAAAACATCTGGAGCAATACTTGAACACTATCGATGCTGACAAAATCACCATCACTCAATTACAAAAAATAGCTTAAAATACAGAATAACAGAGTTGGAAGGGACCCTGGAGGTCTTCTAAACTAACCTCCTGATCAAACAGGAGACCTTATACCATTTCAGACAAATGGAACACAACAACTTTTGAATGCAAGCTGTTTCATTGATTCTAACTGTAAGGAAATTTCTCCTTAGTTCTAGGCTGGTTCTCTCCTTGATTAATTTCCATCCATTGCTTCTTGTCCTGCCTTCAGGTGTTTTCGAATAATAAGCTAACCCTCTCTTCTTTGTGGCAGCCCCTTAGTTTTTGGAACACTGCAATATATTTTCTTTTCATTAAACTAGACATACCCAATTACAGCAACTGTTCTTTATATGTTTTACCCTCCAGTCCCCTGATCATCTTTGTTGCTCTTCTCTGTACTCTTTCTGGAGTCTCAACATCTTTTTTATATTGTGGCAACAAAAACTGGACTACAAAAGTATAGTCTTACCAAGGCATTACACAGTGGTACTAACACTTCATGTGGTTTTGATTCTATTCCTCTGCTAATGCAGCCTAGAACTGGGTTGTTTTTTTTGGCAACTGCAGCACCAATATCCTTTTCACAATTATTACCCATTGTACCAAGTCAACCTATTCTATATCTACACATTTGTTTTTTTTATTGCCTAAATGTAGAACCTTAGTTTTCTCACCACTGAATTTCATTTTGTAAGACAGGGCCCAGAGTTCAAGTCTGTCGACATCTTCTGTATCTTGAACCTATCTTCTGGAGGATTGGCCCTTCCTGCCAGCTTGGTGTCATCTGCTTTTTTGGAACAGCTTACATCTTGCAATGATACCTTTAACAACATCCAACAACATCTGCCTATCCTAGGTCCTCTGGAAAGACTTGACAAATGGATAAGAATACCAAATCCAATCTAATGGCTGACTGCACAACCATTAATAATAAAATAGACAAAAAGAATAAAAAATGAAAAAGCTAAAGTTCTCTGGGACTTTAGAATTCAAACAGACATCTGCCACACAACTCCCTAGACTTAACAATTGTTGATCAGAAAGACAAAAAAAGTCTGGATAATGGATATTGCAATACTTGGAGACAGCAGAAGAGAAAGAACTGGAGTAAATCACAAAAGCAGAAATATAAAGATAGAAATAGAACCTGGCTGACTTTGTTACCATCCATAATAATACATTATTAAGAATAGATAATAAAAGACAATACTGATGAAAGTATTATGCAAATAAGTACTTATTATAATAATGTAAATTATATAATGTAAATCATTATTTTCATATTTATGTAAATAAGTACTTACTAATTTCAGCATCCTATATATATATATATATATATATATATATATATATATATATATATATATATATATATATATATATTATTTGAATACAATCTAAACTAGGATCCACAAGTGTTTTGAATTACATCTGGAAGGAATCAGGTTGCCTATGCAATCCCAAACTGTTCATGGATCCTCTGCATTGGCAATAGATCAAGTCATTGACTCCTCTCAAAGCCTGTATTTCTAAATGGCATCAAACATGGAGCAAATTCTCCTCAAATTAGCGCCTAAACTGGCTGGAAATTCTGGGATCCCATCATAGGTAGAAAGTACCAACTTTTGGAAATGCTGGCCAAAAAGAAAAATGGGATTTGCAGGCACCATTCTATCACAGCATATTCTTCTATTAAACTTCTTTTGCTATCAGCCTGTATACCAGTGGTTCTCAACCTTTTTAATGCCACGACCCCCAACCGGTCGTAAGTCGAGGACTACTCAACTGGTGCAGCACCGTTTGCAGAATGGGACTTTTGGCGGGCTCAGCAGGGCAGAGACAGCCTGGACAATTCCTATTGGCTTTTGAAAGCCAATAGAATTAGACTCTATTCAAGAGAGTCTATTCTATTGGCTTTCAAAAGCCAATAGAATAAAAGGGAGTAGCACAGCTAAGGAAAAGGGGGAAAAAATGGCGGACTGTGTTGTTTGGCGACCCCCGTTGAATGGTCATTCAACCCCAAATGGGGTCCCGACCCACAGGTTGAGAACCACTGCTGTATACCATATAGTTATAGGAACAGCTGAAACAAAGCTTTCTTTACACCTGTGTTTACATACTTTTGTTTAGTACAAGGAATGCTCTAACTCAGAGGTCCCTAACCTTTTGGGCACGAGGGACTGATTCTGTGGAGAGAGATTTTCCCGTGGACCAGAGGGTGCGTGGTTTTGTGAGCTGCCTGCATCCCGCAGATGGGACTTCGCTAGTTTGTGCGGACCGGTTGCTGGCATGCCGCGGCCTCGTACTGGGGTTGGTGACCCCTGCTCTAACTTATTACTCAATTTAGAGTAGGCTGTCCTGTGTAAACTGAATATTTTGAGCAAGGCTGAACAAACATTAAAAAGGCCACTATACAAAGGTCATAGTCCACTGGTATGAAGCATCATTCCCCCCCACCCCCAAATACTGAGGCAGCCGTGATTTCTGGAAGGCTCAATTGCACAACAGCTTTCCTGAGTGGTTTCACAAGCATATGTGTGCACAGCTGCTTTGCTGACAGTCCAGATAGGAGTGTTCTCAATGCAGACAGACAACTTAGGAAAGCCTTCAAAGCAGACTACCCTCAGCCTTCTAGGAAATGCAACAACACTTTGAAGGGAAATGCTTGTTCATGCCAACATGCTTTGCAAAGTACCCTTCTAAACTTATTTATTCATGAATAAGAGAAAAGCAAAAGTAGCATTTTTACGTTCACAGTAATTGAAAGCAACTGCTTGTATAGTGCATAGAGTCTACCTCCTTGTTAATTATTAATATGACAAACCTGTAATATATTGGAGAGAAATTTTCTGAATTTATCCTTGTTTTAAAGGAGGAACCACCTGCTGTTGGTGAAATGCTTCTTTATTATTATGATATGGTATGAGATGGTTTGGTTGACTTTGGATTTAGATCCGTTGTTATGATAGTTGAAAGTTTTTATAACTGCAAGGGCTATTGCAGAAAATGGTTCTTGTTCCTCGGTTGCCCAACATTACTATTAAGATCTGTTTGAAATATTTTGCTACTGCGGACACGATTGGTGTAATATAGTTCTCATGATTAAAGTGTGGGTATATAAATTTGCAAACTTAAATAATCAACCATTAATCAATACGGTAACCTATTTCTAGAGGGGCGGGAAAGAATGACACAGCTGAAATAAATGGAGGTAACCGATAAGCCTGTGAAACTCACTGGTGGGCAACAATGGAACAAAAGTCCAGAAAACTTAGTATCTTCTAAAGAATGTTATTTTTTTTCACAACAGTTAAAATATGATAATGATATTAGGCAGGTCAAAAGTCTTCAACTGATACATGGATCATCATTATATTTTTCTGGGATGCTATGATCTGGAATACATCACGGACAATAAAACATTAATGCAGCTGTATGTTAAAAACAGGATTTTAAACTTTTGTGATCCAGTTTTTCTCTTCCTGAAGAGGATTATTTTAGAAGTTCCATACCATATCTTCTCTCTGAATTGCAGAAGCATATTTTCTTCTGGTTATTATACAATTAGTATACTTTCTTGTGTAATACAACATAAATAACTCAAGTAAGAAAGACTCAAAGATGGAACCAAGTATTTTATTCATCTCTTAAACCTATAACTCTGTGCCCAAGATTTGGCAATGAAGAACTGCTATTAATGCTGAGCAGGAGAATACTATTACTAACAGCAACAACAACGTCAACATTATGAAACTTTCAACGTGTCTATTTAGATCAGGTAAGAAGCATTGAGAAGGTGATTTTGCTCTGGAACAGGCAGAGGGAATTGTCTCCCCTGCAGCGATTCTACTTAAAAGCCCCTCTTTTCATTGTATCATAGTTTGAGAAAGTTAAAGCCATGATTTCCAATGATGTTGAGGCTATAGTTTTGTCCACCCCAAACAATGTGGTCTAGGTTCCATCCATTAAAAAAAATATTCTGGTGGAACCAAGTGGGCCTTCTCTATGGCACCTGCCATCTGGAACAGCATCACCCACAAGATGTGTACAGTCCTCACCCTGGCCATGTTTAAATGAGCTTTTGAAACCTGACGCTGTCCTCAGACCCCAGATCAAAGTGGGTGATGGACCCTTGGGCAATGTTTTGTCTTTTAGAGGATTGATTTTTTTCCCCCCTGGATTTTTCCATTGAATTTTTTTTAACCAAGTTTTTATTGTTGTATTATATAAATTTCCTAGAGTCGTAACAATCAAGGGTAGCTTATAAACCCAATCAATCAATCAATAAACCAATAAATGTTTCACTGAAGTCAGCAGGGAATATTTTGCTAAAAGTCACAATGATGGCCAGAGGAATCTATTTTAAAGTCTTACAGGAATGGGACGAAATTCTTATTCCTAAGCAAATGCTGATTAGAACATTCCCTTTTTAAGCTCTGGGTAAAGAGAAACTGGAGGAACCTCCCTAAAAGTTTGTGGGCTTAACGGAGAACTTCTTTGGGTTAGGTTCGATCAGAAAAATGGAGAACTTCCAAGTTTGTGCCAAGAGAAATTAGGGAATGACTTCATTCTGAGTATCAGTTCATCACAAATCAGAACAGGTAGAGCTTCACTTATACTAGAAATTCAAAGTAACAGTCCTTCTCCCATAAGAACCTCAAAGGAAAACAGAATACGTCTCCTTGTCTCTAGTATCCCGAAATGAAATAGAGTTGTTAGCCAAATGCAAGCCTCAAATATGTATTGTAATAATTACTATTATTTACTACTAGCATTAAAAAGTTCTGAGACTAAAATAAATAAAATAAAATAGACAAAATCCCACTGGGGAATTATCACTTTATGTTACAATTACATTGGGGAAAAATGTTATGAGGAATCCTCAACTCATACTGCTAAAGATTTGTACCAGTGAATTGCCCTAATCTCCAATCTGAATTCAACGGAATCTATCAGCATGGACAGGTTATACAGCCTGACTTCCACTGAGACATAAGGTTTCAGAAAGTATAATTTACACAGCCTATGAGCTTTACACAGCAAGATCAAATCAGTCAGTCCTAAAGGAAATCAATCCTGACTGAAGTTAAAGCTCAAACACTTTGGCCACCAAATGAGAAGAAAGGACTCATTGAAAAAGACCCTCATGTTGGGAAAGATTGAAGGCAAAAGGAGAAGAGGATGACAGAAGATACGATGGTTATTCGACAGTGTCATAGACACAGTGGACATGGGTTTGGGCAGACTCCAGGAGACAATAGAAGACAGGGGGCCTGGCGTGCTGCGGTCCATGGGTTCGCAAAGAATCAGGCACGACTTAGCTACTGAACAACATGAGGTTTACACAGACACAGGCAAATAAGCAATGATTTTAATACATGTTAATGTAAAAAAGTTGGAAAACCTGGATAAAGAAGGCTCCTACTAGATTCTAACCTAAGCCTATCTATTCAAGCAGTCTGATTATTAACGAGATACCTTTGGAAACTCCCAAAACAGAACAATAAAGCAAAGCTAAATTTCTCTTCCTACTTCCCAGAGATACAATCCTACTGATTCTGTCCATTTTGAATTATGAGTCATCTTTCTGATCCTAAATTATGTTGTGGAAATAACATATGGAATAACTACCAAATGATCTGTATGTGGAAGGGCTTGTGCTTCTTTTAAAATGCTACGAAAACAAATTAAAAATGTTCATATTCTGCAGCAGGTTCTGTCTTGTAAATCTCAAAATTCTAGCTGAGAATAGAAATAATTCCAGAAATCTGAATTCTAACAACTTTTGCTACATAGATATTCTTCCTACATAACAGCAGCCTTGGTTTCATCAAGCACCTAGAGGGAATCTGGATGGGAGCTTATTTATATAGGCTAAGCTCAGAGTCCTGCATTCAGAAACCCTACTGTCAGAACAGCAGTCCTCCATTTCTTCATACACCATGCAAATTCAGGGCTAAAGTTGCTTAAACCACAAAAGAACATATAATGCACCATGTGAAATGAGACTTTTATTTATCCAATACAATACAGTAGTCCTATTGGTCCACTAACAGGGCCACTTCAGGAGATTCAGCTGAAAACAAAAGACAAGATGGTGCCTGCCTCTACTCTATGGACAGAAGCCATCAGTAATGGCAGCAACTCTTATTTTCTTGATATATCAACACAAGACGCTCCTTGGAGACTTTCTGTCTATCTTGCCACATCCTGATCCAAGAAAATGAAAGGGCCTGCTGAAGGACTGCTTCTACATCACCTCCCAACATTTGTTGCCTGAAGTAGTTCCTTTATTTTGCCCAATAGTTTATACATTGTTTTAGAGGATGGATCCAAATCTTAACCATTGGCAGGATCCACAACAAGAAGAAGAAATCATTAAGCGAGGAAACTTTTTGCCTCTCCACAGGTCTTCAAGTTGGTTGCTCAGGAAGAGGATGAGGAAGAGTAATGGAGGAAAAATGTTACTGGATGTACATGACTGAAATAATGTAAACGTCTCGGGGTATATTTCCTAGAAGACAGTAGAAGTATAAGACAGGCACTTTTAAAAGGAAAGGTGTAGGGGTGGGGTGTCCCCCTATCTGCCTTTGGACCAGAGGTCTCTGAGAAAACATGGTTATCAGCGCTTAGCAACCAACCCAGGAAGGATGAGAGAAGGGGTAGCTCCACCTACACCCCCCCAAGCTTCGCCTCTCTCTCACGCCCCTCCTATAAAGAAAACAAGAACGTCTTCAGAAAAGTGGGGAGGGGGGAGCGGAACCGAGTGGCTTCTACTTTTGAGCTCCTCAAACGAATCCGAGCGGCGTTTGGTGGAGAAAAGAGCCACGGTTTTGGTTTTTTTTTTATAAAACAGACAGAAAATCCGGGACGCGCGTGGTGGGGACGTTCAACAGGAACGTGCTGGAGCCGAAGATAGGCGCTCGGGTGACTTCCCCCTCTTCCTCGAGCATCGTCCCCGGGGCAGCCTTCTCTGTTCCCAGCCAAAAAGAAAAGAGTAAGGAAGGGAAGGGAAACCGTGGAAGGGGGGGGGGGGGAAGGCACTTACTTGCTCCCATGCCCCGAAGGTGGAGTTTTCAGCACAGCTACAAAGGAAGCCTCCGCCCCGCTGCCAGTCTTTCTCTCTCTGTCTTTTTGGTCCACCTTACTTTCCCCCCCTTTCTTTCCTTCCTCTTAGGTACTTTTCTCAGCGCAGTGACACCCTAGCTTGGTAAAAGTGACCCTGCCAGCAATACCTGCTGCAGCGGGGGGGGGAAAGCCCAGAGCCCGGCTCTCCAAGGCTTGAAAACAACGGCGCTGGTCTCACTGGCGGTGGCAGGAGCGACGGCGCCCTTTCTCTTGCCCACGTGAATCAAGAGCGGCTCCGCCCGGGCTCTGGGGACCAAACCAACAGGCGGGCAGGCGGTGGAGTGCCGGAGGGAAGGGCGGCTGCGAAGGGCGTTGCTCCAGCTTAGAGCGGAGGAGAAAGCCGGCGAGGAGCGCTTGCTGCGCCCGCCCGTTCGAGGCTCCGGTCTACAGGGCGGATACTAATGTGCGCGCGAGACAGAGATGCGCGCAAGTATGCAGGAGAGACCTCGGAAGGGAGGGGCCGGCGGCAGGCATCTCCGGGAACAGGAGGCGCCGAGAGAGAGAGAGAGAGAACGAGTCGCTTGGAGTAATCCGCGCAGAAGCTCCACGCGGGAGGGTGGGGAATTGTGAAAACTGGAAACGAGTTGCCGATCTCTTGAGAAAGATTTGGGATGCGGCTAAGGCAAGGCAAAAGGCCCGAGACCTGTTGACAGCGGAAATAGCCGCGCGGCAATGCTGAGTAAACGAAGAAGGGTTGCACGGTTGGAACCTGATTAGCAAAGCAAGCACCCTGACCATCAGAATCACTTTGAGGCTGGAGGAAGCATTTTATCCATACGGCCCTCAGCGGGACTTAATCCCAAACCTGTGGCGGCGCTCCTCTAATATGCTCACTGAAGTATGATGTACAGCATTGCTGTAATCCAACTGCATGGCTTCCTAACATAGCCGTTTAGTTTTCTCACGTTGTGTTAATACAGACCATGGGGTTCGTTCTGACTCACTTTGGAAGAACAGCGTAGATTACATGTGTTTTAAAACAGACGGAATTCACATCTGTACTTCGCAGAGGCTGTAGCATAGTTCCAGAAAAGTGTATCTTCCTAACTTGGTGCCTTCCATGTATATTTTGTAGATGATGTCCAGGAACTTTGGAAGTAGTGTTTCCGATACAAAGGACCAGGCTGGGGAAGACCAACACCCCCAAAACTAAAAGTCCATTTATGTCTTATTGATTTAAATTATAAGCAAGTAGATTATGGTTGGACATCAGGTAAAATTTCCTAACAATAGTTGCTCAGTGATGGATCAGAATAAAGAATAACAAGGTTGGAAGGACCTTAGAGGTCTTCTAATCCAACCCCTTGCTCAAGCAAGAGACTGTTTATCATTCTGGACTAATGGCTGTCCAATCACTTCTTTAAAACCTCCAATGATGGAGCACCCATAACTTCTGGAGGCAAGCCATACCGCTGATTGTTCTCACTGCTAGGAAATTGTTCAACTCTAGATTGGATCTATCTCCATAACTTTTTTGCCCTCAGGTGCTTTGGAGACTAAGGCAACCTCTTCTTCTCTGTTGCAGCCCCTCAAATATTGGAAGACGGCTATCATGGCACCTCTAGTCTTCTCTTTATTAGCCCTAGACCAGGCGTAGGCAACCCAAAACACTCAAAGAGCCACTTGGACCCATTTCCCACCGAAAACAAAACACTGGGAGCCGCAAAATGAAGATAACACTGCATGTATCCTTTTTTTACCTTTATGATATATATATGCAGTGTTATCTTCATTTTAGATGTCAAAAGAGTCTGTCTCCCTCCTTCCCTTTCCTTTTTTTCTCTCTCCCTCTTTCCTCTCTTCTTTCTTTCTCTCTCCCTCTTTCTCTTCTCCCCCCTCTCCCTCTCTCCAACCTTCTGCTCATCTGGCAAGGTGGCTTCAAGCTGCTCTCCAACAAGCTGACACACATTCTTATTGGGCTAGCTTGGGTAGGCAACCTCAGCTCTTTTATGATTCATGAACTTCAACTCCCAGAATTCCTGAGTCAGCATAGCTGGGCTAGCTAGCTCTCTTCTGCCCTTCCTGCTGAGACGCAGCAAAGGGAGGAGCCTCATCGGATAAGCTTGTCAGCTCTCAGAACAGGGTGAGGCTACTTCACACACACACACACACACACACACACACACACACACACAGAGAGAGAGAGAGAGAGAGAGAGAGAGAGAGACAGAGAAGTGAGCTGCAGGGGAAGGCTCAAAGCCGCATGCGGCTCTGGAGCCGCAGGTTGCTGACTTGTGCCCTAAAGATACCCAGTTCCCACACTGCTCATCGTGTGCTTTATCCTTCAGTTCCCTACTCATTTTCATTGCTCTTCTGTTTCTAGAATCTGTTTAAGGCTGGCCATTGGTGGAAAATGCCATAGAAGTAGTTTTCCAAAATCTCCATAATTTCTAATTTCTGGGCCCTGAAAATTCAAGAACATTGTTACAGTTTAATTTATATTAAAAATTTATAGGCTATCATAGCCTATTACACTCTGGACCAATTACAAAATACAATGATACAATAACCTAAAAATACAAGCATCATCAATAAGAAAACAAATTGGTTCTCCAAGGTAGTTAATTGGAACTGTTTTTCTTACTCAAACTAGGATGGATCAATTATGGTGGCAAAAGCTGGCATGCCATTGGAGATGGCGTGGAAACCGCTATAAATCATCGGCATGGCAAAATGGATTTTTGTAATACCAATGCCATGCTACAAAACTACCCTAATAAAAACAAAAGAAGTCCAATATGGGCAGAACCAAATGGATTTAATATGGTTTTTCTCCTAACTTTTGTCAAGACTTATTTATAATGCTTCTAAAACTGCATATATAATTATCAAAATCTTCAGGCACTTTTTAGGGTGAAATTTAAGTGTTTGAAGGGAGTACAGTATGTAGCATAGTCTCTTATTAGTGCTGTCTGCATGCATTCATTGTAATATATGGATGACCTTCATCCTTTGCAGTATGTCTGCATTGTAGGTCCCAGCATTTTTCATCATTGACTACATGGCTGGAGCTGCTGGGAGACATAATTCAACACTGCACATCCAGCACTGTCTCTGGGCATGCACAAACTGCCTTTTTTGCTGAGCGGAACAGAGTTTAACCCAGCATTTGCAATAAATGTTTTCACTTTGGGGTTAAAAGGACTTTAAAGAGAGACAGTTATTGTAGGGACACAGTACCTGAAAGCTTGGATAAATGGATTTTTTTTTTATTATGTGCCATTAAGTCTTAAAGACCATATAAATAGCCATTCTCTAAAATGATCTGAAGATCTTCAATCTGGCTCTTCAGGTCTTCCAACAGTGCATCCACTGCTGTTGCAATCAAATTCTTCCACTTTGCTGCTGGTCATCTTCTTTTTCCTTGTCTGAAAGAAGGCGAATATATGTGTCCTGGGATAATGTTGCAGGATCCAATCTGGGTCGTTTATCAAAACTAGTGGTTTTGTCTTCCAAGCTTTCAGACTCGTACTGGAACCCATCTTCAGGGAACTTCTCTCTAGCAGAGTGTGTGCTTTGCGCTGTTTTGTTGGTATTTACGTGGTGGTGTCATATATGGCTTTTTTAGATGTTGATTGGGGATGTTTTTTTTTTCCTTCCATCTTTCCTAGACTTCTCAAAATAGCTGGACACATGAGATAATTTGAGGCTGGTCATTTATGCTTGAAGTGAGAACTCTGGGTGGATTTGGATATGAATCTATTTATCTGTTAGGCTAGTTCAGTACAGTATGATGCCGGTGAAACTTTTCCAAGCAAATTTGACAGATGGTTGTCTGGTATGGGGATTGGTTGTCATAATGGGAAAAAGTATTAGCCTTCAGCTACAAGATCTCTGGGAGATTTCTTGTATGAGTAGACAACTTAAAAGTACCAATGGAAGATTCTCCACACCACACCCTCCCTTTACATTCGAGGTAAGCTTTGCTAAGAAAGAGAATGTACAGATAGTCGTCAACTTACAATAATTCTTTTACTGACCATTTGAAGTTACAACGGCAATGAAAAAAGTGACTTATGACTGTTTTTCAACTACGGTTGCAGCATCCCCGTGGATGTGATCACAATTTGGACTCATATTTATGATAGTTGCAGTGTCCCGGGGGTCATGTGATCACCTTTTGTAACCTGACAAAGTCAAAGTGGAAGCCAGATTCACTTAACAACTGTATTACTAACTTAACAACAGTGGCAAGAAAGATTGCAAAATGGTGCAAAACTCACTTAACAAATCTCTCGCTTTGCAAGGCAGGTTGGGCTCATTTGTCGTAAGTTGAGGACCTGTATTCATCTGTCCTTCTGCATTTGCACCCCTTAAATATCCACATGCTTGTTTCAAAAACAAATATGATACCATCTATATACCTCGGTGGATCTCCCCAACTTCCATGGGTTGGGTGAGGATTTGGGGAGAGTGCACACCTATAAGTAATGATAGGAGAGAAAAGAATGGACAATCATTTGTTCCTGGATGGTGTAAATTCTCCTGCCATGAGCAGGGGGTTGGACCAGAAGACCTCCATGGTCCCTTCCAGCCTTATGATTTTATGATCCCCCCCCCCCCGCTGCAACCCTCTTGAAAACACACAATAATTAAGTAAAACATTGTGCTATTAATAGCAATAGATCTTCAGAGAAATATAGGTCCTGGAATTTGAGACCTCACAAAGCCCAAGGCCAGCACATCGATGACAGAAACAATAATCAGTTCTAAAAGCATTACTAGCTCCTCAGGCTTTACAGGGAAAGCTAACGGTCGCAAGAGCAAGAAAGAAATCCGCCGCCGGGCGCAGCCTCTCCTACGGCGCTTCGCTGGGCGTTGGCCGCGCCTTGCGTTGCGCGGCTGGTGGGCGGCGCTGTTCCACCGCTCAGTCAGCTTCTGAGCGCGCGCCCGAGCAACAGTAGCAGCGGTTCGTTTTGCTCGCGAGGGAGGGCAGACGGGGCGCGTGCGGCAGGTGGTGTACAAACTGGAGGGTGTCTGTTCGCCGCCGGGCAATGCAAAGCCTGCGCACGCATCCTGCATCGTTACTAACCAGGTTTCCTAACTTTTTTTTTGCTTTCAGTTGTACCGGATATGGTTGCGGCGCCAACTTTCAGTCCAATCAAAATAAATGAGACCGTGTTAAGTTTTGCCCGAATAGCCAGGGGAGATTCTGACAGAGATCGCAGGTTTTGTTAAGCATGGTTTGTTTAAACATGGTGGGTGAAAAGAGATCGTGGGCTGTGTTTACATCAATAGGCGACTGTGGTAGTTAGCATTACCACAAGTTTAGGAATTAGCCTCTGTTATGAAAGGAAGAAAATTGCTGGTAATAACTGGCGAGGGAGGGGAGGAAAGGCTCAAGACTGAAGGAACGTATAAGTTAAGTCGATACAAAGAGAGGGAACAAGTTATTTTTTTCGAACTTGGGTCTTCTTGATTTTATGTTCTTATTACATGGGATCACCAGAAACCACCGTGAAATAACATCGTATCAGGCAGCATGGAGTGTATTCTAATAACCGCAGATCTCCCCACCATGGCTTAAAACCATAGCTCCAAGACATGAATCCTGTTCATTTGCAGTTATATATTACAATATATATAACTGATAGCAAAGTAGGTCATTTGACAGTTAACGTTGTAATAATTGTCAACATAAAAATTATAGTTCTGGGTTTGGATCCACTGTGATGCAAAAAATGTGGATCTCGATTTACTTTTTATGTGGGATGCATATGAAATCACAGTCAAATCATACATATATGAAAATAATAATCATAGATTGAAAGGGTTTTGGCAATGTAAATCTTCTACAGTTCACATCTAGAATTTATCAGAATAAGCCATCACAATTCTTGGAAGCAAAAATGTGCTGATGTAGAAGTCCCTTGGCATGAAATTCACAGGAAATCATAAATCATTAATTTTACTAATCAGTACATGGTAAACTAGTTTTTTTGAGATTCAAAAATATGTGGATAGGACCAGATCTACCCAAATTTTTTGTACTATACTGAAGACAGAAATCTCCAGATCTGTGATTTTGATGGCTAGTTATGGGCAAAAGACTGGGATTCTATGTTTTGGCAGTGATTTCAGCTGGATCTTGAGTAAAAATCATGTAGATTAGTGCCTTGGATCTAGGCTTTTTTGCATCACAATAGGATCAAAAACGTGTAATGGTTCATTACACACAAACCATTCAGTGACTTGGCAATATATTTATGTAGATTCTGTCTAAAACCCATGTAAAATAAAGCTTGGAGCCCCATTTTTCCATCATGCTTTGACCAAAAAATATCAGATTACAATAGATCACTGAATGCAGACTGAAATGCTGCGATCTGATGATTGGATAAGAATCCTGTGAAAAAAGCCCTGTGAAATTAAGAGGATCAAACCCCAGATCCATATTTTGAACCAATATGGAACTATGATTGCAATGACTAATTGTGTGCAGACAGATATGATCTGTGATTTAACAGGTTTCATGTGGATCTCATGTAAACATGATATCAAGATGATCCATGCCTTATATCCATGCTTTTGTACCAGTGCAGAACTAAAAGCTGTTAGATCCGTGATTGTTAAGGTGGGCTGTGGGCTAACAGTTATCTATCAAATAGATATTTGGTAGTGATTTTATAAATGTTTTATGTAAATGTTCTGTAAAATTACTATCAAACAAATAGTGATTTTATAAGTCTGTAAACTTTCTGTAAAATTAGGATATGCTTTTGATGTCAAGAATGGACTTGTATCCTTTTTATCTAGAAATTTATTTATTTATTTGGAAAATGTATATTGCTGCCTACTCGCAAACGGTGACTCAAGGCATTTTACAGGAAATAAAAACACAATATAAAAGAAATTAAAAAATAAAATAATAACAAAATAATAACCCCCAACCCACACCCATCCTGGCGACAACACACATTCATACCAGCCATTTAATGGGTTCCATCCAACTCTGGGTTCCCTAGGCCTGCTGGCAGAATCACAGCTTCAGGGCCTTCTGAAAGAGTGTTAGAATGGAGGCCAGGCTAATTTCCACAGGATTGATGTTCCAGAGAGAGGGAGGCACCATGGAGAAGGCCCTTCTTTTGAGTCCCCCAGATGTATTTTCTTAGGGGATGAGATCTGCAACATTCCTTGTCTCCCTGCTCTAGTAGAGTGCATTGCAATAGTCAAGATGGGAGCTGACTAGAAATGCAGTTACTGTAGAAGTCTGGTAAATGCATAAATATCTGGTAAATGCATAAATGTTTTCCAATATATGCTTTTATTCTACATGCAAAAAGTTGGTAAATTTGTTTGAAGACACTACCTTTAGTGTCTTAATGGCTTAATTTTTTCATACAGCGATGGCTCAATGGCCTTGAATTAGAGATGAGTGCCCCCTGTAATCAGCAACGACTAGAGGAGTAAAATCCACAGGGATTCCTTTACCTTTACTACCTTTATAGTTCATGAGGGAAAAAAAGAATATTCTCTTTCACGCAAATTATGGATGTGCAGAATTATTATGTGTGTTTATTTTAAGATTCATAAGCTTAGGAAATAGAATTTCCAAATGTCCACAAAACCCTGCATTGAGAATGCATAAAATGGATGGTACTGTAAGGATATGTGGGAATCATCTTGGGAAACATAAAAAAGAGCCACAGATTAGAGAATGATCAGATAAGAGGCAATTGTGTTTGCAGAAGAAATGAAGGCATGATTAGCATCTCAGAAGCGACCCTTCCTAGACTGTATAGGAGAGGAGGGAGGGATGTACATTCATATCTGTATGATACTGTTAATGTAACCTTAAAATAAAGTAGAGTTAGTACTTCTGGATATGTTTCTTGTCTGCACTGCCTCACAAAGCTGACATACCTAATTCATAAATGTTGGTGGAAGACGAAATGCTTTTAGCAAATGAATAATGACAGTGTCTGAAAATTAAAAGTCACACCACAATCACACAATCTCTGCAAAATGCATTCAAGATTGATACAGAGATGGTTGTGTCACATATTCTTGCTGTTACCACCCATTTTTCTAGATTAAGGAACAGCCCCCATACCAGCTTATGAGAGAGAGAAGTTCCTGTTTGCCTATTAATAATAACTATGATGGTTATTATGGCAACAGCAGGAGTTTTGTTTGAAACTGCATATACCGCTAGTCCTCAACTTAAGACCACAATTGAACCCTAAATTTTGGTTGTTAAGTGAGACATTTAAGTGAGTTTTGCCCCATTTTATGACCTTTATTGCCACTGTTAAGTTCAGTTGATAAGTTAGTTACCCCGTTATTAAGTGAATCCAGTTTCCCCATTGACTTTGCTTGTCAGAAGGTCACAAAAGGTGATCACATGACCCTTTCTTGATCCGTTGTTTTGATGACACTAAGTGAATAATCTTATCTTGTTATTGACTGCATTAAAGTGGGGCATTCCAAAGGGAGATCTTTGTTCAGCAGGTGCGCAGATGAGAGAATTTCAGCAACTTGCACTCAAAATTTAGAATTCAACTTGACTCTTGATTCTTGCATTTTGCAGTTTTATCAATAACGGAAATAATTTGCCATTGCATTTTTCCGGGAATGTTTTGGCTTCCCATTCTAGCCAACATCTCTAGGAATTCTTAGATGGTCTACTATCCCTGTATCAACCAGCGCCAATGCCACACCAGTATATTTAGGTAGGGACTATCCTAATTCACAAATTAAAGTAATAAAAAAGGATGTAATCTGGCAAGATTACCAAATATCACACAAGATTTTATCAATGCAGCATTATTTGCATGTGATTTCTAGAGGAGATCATCCAAATACCATGAGATTTAGTGGTTTCTGGTTCATTATACAAAATTATGCAGTAATGCCTAAGCCCCGAAAAGACAACTAAACTCAGCAACTGGGTTACAGACAATTCTTCCACTGCTATAGCATCAACTCCATTTTACAGGCAATCCTTGTCTTTCCACCATAATTGAGCCTGGTGGTCATTAAGTGGATCATCACGTGACCATGACAATTTTATAATCCTTTTTACGGTATTTGTTAAGCAAATGCCATAGTTGTTAAATGAATGCCATGGAAACAGCAAAGCTGTTCTCCCCAATGGGTGGGGTTTTTTTTTGCCAGAAAGTGGAAGTAAACACCATAAGCTGGCAAAAAAGCTGAAAACTAAGGTCGTGACCCTGGGATGTTGCCAACAGCTATAAATGTGATCCAGTTTCCAAGCACCCAAAATGCAATATGACATGCATTTATGGAGTGCACTGAAGCACGGTATGATAAATGAACATTTCTAAGGATTCATTCATTCACTGATGGTTATCGCTGATCAATAAAACACTTCAGAACCTTAATGTTAGAGAGATGTGTGTCCTTGTATTTCTGCCACTTTGGTGGAGGGCCTGAACTACTTGTACTTTTGAAAAGGTTTAGTGAATAATCCTTGAGAAATGTAAAAGTTTGCAGCACAAGCTCAGGAAGCTAACTTTTTTCTTTTCCCCCATCCTTAAATTGGTTTAAGATAGGGAAAACTAGCAAAAATGGCTATCTATTGCCACTCAGTGTCCCAATGTTGTATTACATGCATTTGTTTTTGCTGGCTCAAGAGATATCTCATTTATATATAGATATATATCAAAGCAGCTGTGGGAGATTAATCCTGTTTTGGTCCTTAACCGTATCTTTTTCCTGTTCTGCAGCTGGATTAATTAGACCTAGCAAATCAAGCAAAATTGAATTTGAGTAGTTGATTCAGCTCAGGAAATATATTTATTTTGGCTTGTAGAATACTTAGTCTTGAGCAACTTACATTCCTACTTTTCTAAAAAGGTTAGAGTCATAAATAAAATAAACAGCAGTAATTTTCTTTCACCATACTTCACCAAGGAACTACAACTCAATACTCACATAAGCTGTCATTGTGTTTTACTGCAGGAGGGGATCCAATCACATCAGTTGCCCTAGGCCAGGGGTGTCAAACTGCCGGCCTGGATGCATCACATGGAAGCCGTACCCACCCCATTGCTGGCAATGGCAAAACAGTCCCGATATGTTGCGCGACATCACGTGACGTCGTGAATTTTACATGTCTGCCCTAGGCTTTCTAGAATAACTGTCTTGATGGATTTCCTAAGTCCCAATAAGGTTGGTTTGATCTCAGCTGAATTAATATTCCAAAAAGGAAGCAGCAACAAAGAAAGCCCACCCTTGTGCTTCATGATGGTCACACTCCCTCAAACAGACATAGACAATTCATTCAGTTTGACTATTGGTTGTTCAGTTTCACATTTCTGAATCAATTTGAATTATCCTGGTCTCACCCAGCAATATTTGCAGCAAACTGCAATGATATCAAAATGACCCATGAAGAATGACATAATCATGTAAATATTGCAATTATGTTTTTTTGTCAGTATATCTATACAAACATGTAAATTGCAGCACATGCAGGACTAAAAAATTTAAATCTTTGTTATCTTATTGCTGAGTGTGGTATCAAAAGCTGAATGTGACCCTTGCCTCCCACTGGTGTATCTCCAATGTACTAAATATTAAGGACCCATTTCTGCAGAGGCAATCTGGTAAGGACCATATGCCAAGTATGTATTATTTGGTTTATTTGACTGATTTCTATAACCTCTCACCTCAAATAGTGACTTTGGGCAATGTATATCGGAAAACATCATGTCATGAACTGAATTAGAAACTTGTAGATAATTACCTTTTCTCTCTTTTTCTCTCCCTTGTTCTTTTTTCCCTCTTTTTCTACTCTTAGAACCACCACAGGATGCTAGGATCCCACTTACTTGCTATAAACCTCTGCAATGACTCCAGAAGGGGAAGCAAGGGGTCCTTCCAAGAAACCCAATAAAATGAGAATCAGGAAAGGATGTGCTAAACCCCCTGAGCACTGCAAATCATTTCATTGAAGCTTAAGGTAACCTCCCCATCACATCCTCCAGTATTAAATGTTCGCACTTTATTACCTGACCTTTAGGAATGAAGAACACTTCTGGTAGAAGTCTACAATAGGGCTTTGTTGTTGTTGTTAGTTGTGAAGTCGTGTCTGACCCATTGCGACCCCATGGACAATGTTCCTCCAGGCCTTCCTGTCCTCTACCATCTTCTGGAGTCCATTTAAGCTCACGCCTACTGCTTCAGTGACTCCATCCAGCCACCTCATTCTCTGTTGTCCTCTTCTTCTATTGCCCTCAATCTTTCCCAGCATTAGGCTCTTCTCCAGTGAGTCCTTCCTTCTCATTAGGTGGCCAAAGTACTTGAGTTTCAGCTTCAGGATCTGGCCTTCTAAAGAGCAGTCAGGGTTGATCTCCTCTAGGACTGACTGGTTTGATCCAGGGGACTCGCAAGAGTCTTCTCCAGCACCATAGTTCAAATGCCTCAATTCTTTTGCGTTCAGCCTTTCTTATGGTCCAACTTTCACAGCCATGCATTGCAACTGGGAAAACCATGGCCTTGACTATAAGTACTTTTGTTGGCAGGGTGATGTCTTTGCTTTTTATTATGCTGTCTAGATTTGCCATAGCTTTTCTCCCCAGGATCAAGTGTCTTTTAATTTCTTGGCTGCAGTCCCCCTCTGTGGTGATCTTGGAGCCCAGGAAGATAAAATCTGTCACTACCTCCATCTCTTCCCCATCTATTTTCCAGGAATTGAGAGGGCTGGATGCCATGATCTTGGTTTTCTTAATGTTGAGTTTCAAGCCAACTTTTCCACTCTCCTTCTTCACTCGCATCAAGAGGCTCTTTAGTTCCTCTTCACTTTCTGCCATTAGAGTGGTATCATCTGCATATCTTAGGTTGTTGATATTTCTCCTGGCAATCTTAATTCCAACTTTTGATTCATCTAGTCCTGCCTTTCTCATGATATGCTCTACATATAAGTTAAATAGGCAGGGCAACAGAATACAGCCTTGCCAGACTCCTTTCCCAATTTTGAACCAATCAGTAGTTCCATGTCCAGTTCTCACTGTTGCTTCTTGACCCGCATATAGGTTTCTCAAGAGACAAATAAGATGGTCTGGTATTCCCATCTCTTTATGAACTTGCCACAATTTGTTGTGATCTCCACAATCAAAGGCTTTAGCATAGTCAAGCAGAAGTAGATGTTTTTCTGGAACTCCCTAGCTTTCTCCATGATCCAGCATATGTTGGCAATTTGATCTCTAGTTCCTCTGCCTCTTCGAAATCCTGCCTGTACTTCTGGAAGTTTTCGATCGATCCACATACTGCTGGAGTCTAGCTTGTAGGATTTTAAGCATAACTTTACTTGCATGTGAAATGAGTGCAATGGTGCGATGGTTTGAACATTCTTTGGCATTGCCTTTCTTTGGAACTGGAATGTAAACTGACCTTTTCCAATCCTGTGGGCACTGTTGAGTTTTCCAAATTTGCTGACAAATTGAGTGTAGCACTTTTACTGCATCGTCTTTTAAGATTTTGAATAGCTTAGCTGGAATACTGTCACCTCCACTAGCTTTGTTGATGCTCAGATTTCCTAAAGTCCATTTCACTTCACATTCTAGGATATCTGGCTCGAGGTCAGTGACCACCCCATCGTGGTTATCACGGACACTAAGCTCGTTCTTATATAATTCTTCTGTGTAATTTTGCCACCTCTTCTTAATCTCTTCTGCCTCTGTTAGGTTCCTGCCATTTTGGTCCTTTATCATGCCCATCTTTGCATGAAACGTTCCCTTCATATCTCCAATTTTCTTGAAAAGATCTCTGGTTTTCATTATTCTTTTCTCTTCTGTTTCTTTGCACTGTTCATTTAAGAGGGCATTCTTATCTCTTCTAGCTATTCAATTGGGTGTATCTTTCTAGCATAGTCTATTTGGCTCCTAGAAACTTGATTGCCAGAATCACCTTGGGATAAAAAGCCAGTTCAGAAAGAGTCATGAGAATCTTCCAGAGAAGAGATGGCTCCCTTCTGAATTTTTTCTAGATTAAGAGTTTCCTCTTGAGCTCCTTAGCCCCAGTTTTCCCTTGCTTGATCGTTTCCCGCCATACCTCATGTAGATAAGCCATAGACAGTGAGTCCTAGACAAAACAGACTAATGTATTCTTGTCAGGTTTGAATTGACTGATTTTTTTCCTCCTGCCTTTTTAGTTATTAACAAGCAGAAATAAAAACAGTGCAGTAGTGATAATACAAAACACAAAAATATGTATGCAATAGTAATAAATCGAAACTCTTAGAAGTCTACGCATACTTGTAATATGCATCTAACATATCAATGATTATAAACAGTGATTTAATATTCTTTCATTTCTACAGTATAAAGATATTTTAAACAATCAAACAACAAGAAGTATTTTAAATGTGCTCCTGAAAATTCAAAATATTTTCTTTCCATCTTCATAGAATAAATCTCTTAGTTGTTTCTCAGACTTGATAGAGGCAAAAATCTTCATAGAATGTCAGATCCCATATTTTTGAGTATAGTTCAACATATTTACATTTTTAAATATTTTCCACCAAATCCTATCTGCATATAGGATAATTGATTATGTGAGTCAAAGACCTGTCAAATTTCTCGCAAGATGAACCCTAAAAATCTGATATCCATCCTTAAATATTCTTTGGAGAATCCTATAAAATGAAACAATTTTTTCTAAAGAATTCATCCCTAAGTCACAAGAAATATATTTAATATTTCTTAAAATTTTGGGACCATTGATTTTTCATGACTGGATATTCCAGAACCTTATTCTATTGGTTCATCATATCCATAACCTTCATCATATTATTTTACTTTTGGATAAAATTTAATGGTAATGATCATTCATTCATTCAATTTTTATAACTGCCCAACTCAACCAAGTGACTTTGGGCAGCTTATAATTCTAAAACTATTCCATACTTCTAACAACATAGTGCTAAAAGATGAAGTTAGGTCAGCCCTCCACTCATTACCATTTCACAAAGCTAAAGGAATTGTGGAATAATCATATAAATATGGCAAGCAAAAGAAGAACAATTGTAAAGGTTCGAATTAACAATGCAGCAAATCTGGCATGGTGTTAAGACAGCAGGGCCAGGGGTGGCTACTGCTGAGCAGTGGAGAGTGTACAGGTGACCAGCAACATGCAGTGCAAACATGGAAGAGCTAAGGGTGTCTGCTGTGGTGTGGGGAAGAGTGGAGACCCCGAGTGACTGGGGAGACAGGCTGTGGTCAATCTGAGGTGACTGAATTAATTATGCCAATCTAGTACCATACAGCTAATAATAATTATTATTAAAATATGAATTGCCATTTTATTTTATTTATCCAATTTATATAGCTGCCCATCTCATATTTACATGATTCATTTGGTTTTCTTTGCAAAATTCTTAAATGTATTTTGAGGGAAACAAAGTATTTTGTGGATTAATTAAATGCTTGTGGTGATTCAGTTTCTATGCAATGGGTAATCTTCTAAAAGCACAGGCAGTAATGACTCAAATCTTTGGATATTGCTGGCCATGAAACATTGTGGAGATAGCTTGGTAGAAATTACCACATCTATCTTAGGCTTCTAGTTCAGTGGTTCTCAACCTGTGGTCGGGACCCCATTTGGGGTCGAACGACCATTTCATGGGGGTCGCCAAACAAGGCTGTCTGCCATTTTTTCCCCCTTTTCTTTGGCCACGCCCCTGGCACCCAGTGATGTATAAGTGGTTGGGGGTCACCACAACAGGGGGAACTGTATTATGGGGTCGCGGCATTAGAAAGGTTGAGAACCACTGTTCTAGTTGTAATCAATTCCTTTTCAGAAAAGTTGTTATGGTTGGGGTGATTCCCATCTCCTAACCTGTACTGGAAGAATTATGGAAGGAAACACAGAGTGATACAAAGTTCTAAATTTGCCTCTAAATTAATTCCTTGTAGAATAATTTAAAAGTCAGAATGGGACTTACATAATGACTGAATTCATACATATACTAAATGAAAGCCAGTTTGGTCTAGTGCAAGGGTGTCAAACTGCCGGCCCGCGGGCCGGACATGTCACGCAGAAGCCTCGCCCACCCCATTGCAATGGCAAAACAGTCCCGATACATTGCGCAACGTCACATGATATAGCGAGTTTGACATGTCTGGTCTAGTGGTTAAGACATCAGGCTATAGAAACTGACAGATTGTGACTTCTAGTCCCACTTTAGGCATGAAAGTAGGCTGGATGACTGGGCCACTCATTTCCTCTCAGACTGATTCACCTTATAGGATTGTTGTGGGAAAAATAGGAGGAGGAAGCAGTATTAGGTATGTTCAGCGCCTTGAGTATATTTATAAAAATAATAAAGACAGGATAAAATTAAAATGAAAATATCAATCCCAATTATCAAAATATAATTGCTGCTTCAAATGACATTTATATCATATAGCACATATAACATATTGTATTTAATAAATAAACCATATTATGACTTTATCTAATAATCTGGTTTACACATCATTCTAACACAGTGGCTGTACTACAAAAGACCAACTATGTTTTAGCCTAGATTAGCAAGTTGTAGTCACCAGAATATGTTGCAAAAGACTCTGGAAATATACCTCTGTTCTGAGATGGTTGATTTAAAGTCCATCAGAGTATGTCCTTGGATCAAAAAAACTTATCTTTATGAATCTTCCAATTCCAGGATTGCAAAACTCCAGGTAATTTAGGATGATGCAAAGTGCTGCAGAAATCTCTTAATCGTTGCTCCCATATAGTGGTCATCTGCAGTTTAAATCTGAAACCCCTACAGTATATAAGACAGTGGAATTATGGCTGTAGAATTATACCGCATGCTTTTTTTTTCCAGTCACAACAGTGTGTGTCTCTCTCTCTGTGTGTATGAATAATAGAACTCTCAGTCCTGTTTTGTATACAACAATCAAAAAAGAAAATAACTACAAGAGCAAAATTGTGCTACCCTGTTTCTCTTTATACAGA